TATTTGGGCCTCCCCCTAGGAGATAACCCCAGGAATGAAAGCTTTTGGAACCCGGTAGTAGAGACATTTGAGAAAAGGCTTGCTTCTTGGAGGAAAAATTATCTTTCTCTTGGGGGAAGAATCACCTTGATTAGGTCTACCCTTTCCAACCTTCCTATTTACTTCATGTCAGTGTTTAAGATTCCTACAAAGGTCTCAAATCGGATAGAAAAATTAATGAGGGATTTTTTATGGGAACCAGGAGTGGAGAAGAAAGACCATAGGGTGAGGTGGGAAGTGGTAAATAGGAACAAGAAGCTAGGGGGGCTTGGGATTGAGAATATCAGGAAAAGGAACATGGCATTATTGGGGAAATGGTTGTGGAGATTCCCGTTGGAAAGGGACAAATTGTGGACGAAGATTGTGGCTAGCATACATGGGCTTGATGAGAATGACTGGGATCTTGGAATTTTGGCAAGGACTACTGCCGCATCCCCGTGGAAAGCCATTCATGATCTGCTTCCAGTTTTCTCCCCTTGGATCAGGTACGATCTGAACTCAGGTAATCGAATAAAATTCTGGGAGCAAATTTAGGTTGGGGACCTACCCTTGAAAGACCAATTTCCATCATTGTTTGCTTTGTCAGATTTGAAAAATGAACACATTTCCTCCTTCTCGGTTCCTTCTGATTCTTCTTCTGGGTTTGGGGTGTATGTCATCTTTGCTAACCATCATTGAAAATGTTTTCTTGAACCCTAGCAAGGGAGACACCAGAATCTGGACCCCTTCTTCATCCGGCTCTTTCTCTTGTGCTTCGTTTTTTGAGACATTAGTCCAACCTACTACACCGCTTGGTCTGTCATTCCCGGTTAAAGAGATTTGGAGCAAACCCATTCCTCCTCGGGTTGGTAGTTTTTGTTGGGAAATTTTCCTGGAAAGAGTTAACACAAATGACTTGCTTCAAAGAAAGATGCCCAACTGTTGTTTACTTCCCAATAGGTGTATTCTTTGCAAAGCTGATGGGGAAACGGGTTATCACATTATGGTTACTTGTCCAGTTACTAAGACTGTTTGGGAGTGGGTGTTTTCCCTCTTTGGGTATACTTGGAATCCCCTGGGAGTGTGCAATGCTTGTTCTCTCCTTTCTTTAGTTGGCCTAAGAGAAGGGGGAAGATTATGTGGAGAAGCATTAGGGCTGCAGTGTGCTGGTCAATATGGGAAGAAATAAATTCACGAATTTTTTCAGATAAGGAAAGAACCACAGAAAACCTAACAGATTTGATACTTTCAAGGGTTGCTCATTGGCTGAAATCAATGGAGATATTCTCTGAATTCTCTATGGCAGACGTGATGAGAAAATGGAAAGAGGTTGCTACTGCTGTTATGTATAAAAGGAACTGTAGTACCAGTTGGACCCCCCTCCCGCCAGATTCATAAAACTTTATTTTGATGGATGTAGTTTAAGGAATCCAGGGCCCTCTGGGATAGGGGGTGTTTTCAGGAATGAGGAGGGGTATATCATGTTCTCTGGGCCAATTGGAGAGGGTGACTCTCTTAGAGCCGAAATTCTGGCAGTTCTTGAAGGAATCCAAAGAGCAAGAGAATTAAGCATTAGATGCTTAGTGATTGAGGGGGACTCTAAGGTGGTGATTAGGTGGCTGAAAGGAGATATCAGTGGTTTGTGGAGCTACAGCAATGAGGAGAAAAAATTTAATTGGCTGTGTAAGGACTTAGAGGTGCAATATAGCTGGGTGAAGAGAAGTGCTAACTCAATGGCTGATGGATTAGCTAAGCAAGGGGTGGCTAAGGATTCTTTGTTTTGGGTACATTTTTAGTATTTTGTTGCCATTTTGATGTTGGGGAGTTAAGATAGTTTACCTCCCCTTTTTCTGTAATTAATCTTCACAACTATTATTCATTAATAAAGATTTCTGTTATCGATCAAAAAAAAAAAAAGGAGATTCTAAAGTTGTTGTGGGGTGGCTAACAAATCCAGGTTCAGTTATTTGGTGCTACAGGGACCTTTTGAGGAAAGTTAATTGGTTTTCAAGGAACATGACTGTTACTTCACAATGGGTGGGTAGAACAACTAATACCATTGCAGATGGGTTAGCTAAGCAAGGGGCATCAAGGGAACGATTATTTGGGGCAGTTCTGTAAATTTTTGTTTTCTAGTCTGATGTAATCCAATGTTGTTGTTTAGGAGAGGTACCAATTCGTGCCTCTCATTGGGTAGCCTGTATTGTCTTATCATCTTGATCTATCTTTAATAAAATCTTAATCATTTATCAAAAAAAAAAGTCCTAAAAAAATCCCGAGTGATGAGAGAAGAAAAGGACAAGTTTTTTGAGAAGAAAGAGGAAGACAAAGAAGAAAAGAAGGAAACATTACTAACATAGGTAGGGGAAGGGAAGTCCTCTCTGTGAATACCTCCTATGTGTGTGTTCTACTTTCATGATACATATTCTTCTCCTTCTCTCTTTCATTTACTTGTAAGAATGAAAGTAGTGGGAAAGAAACTATCTATGACCAGGTGCTTCTACTTGGTTGATTATGGTTCTTCTACCAAAACTGGTTAGGGGTTAAGTCATCTACAGCTTTATTCCCACAGGCTGATCATGGTTTCCTTCAAATGCACAGATGAAGAAAGGAGGGACAGAAAACATCTATGGTCAAATATTCAATTTGACTGGCTACAGTTTCCCTCTCATTTGCAAAGTTGAGATTTATGTTGTCTACAATTGGAGTTTTGTCTGATTGACCACGGCTTATTGTGAAGAAGAAAGACATTTGACTGCATGTTATTTAGAATGTTATAGGATGCTCTTTATAGCTTTCTAATTGCTTTTAGTGTCAATTCTGCTGCTTCTGTTACATGAACTTCTATATAACGTGAGCTTCTTTTGTATCTTATGTTACTTTCCTCTCTTTTTCTTCTTTGTTAGTTTGTGAAAGAAATAGATCCTTCATCGAAAGGCGTCACAGATGTGATTGACAAAAGAAAACTGGATTTTGGAGTGGATTTTGGAGAGTCTGCAAGTGCTGGTCAGTTGCATATTCTCAACCTCCCAATGATCATTTTTTTTTTATCGAAAAAGTTTTAGATCTGCCATTGAATGATGCCGATGCTAAAAATGCTGCTGGGAAAATGTCCTGTTTCAGGAGCTGCAGTTGGGCATCAGGTTGCTGATGAGACAGCTTGCAATCAACCCTCACATGCATGTGATGATATGGCTAACAAAGCTGGTGATGAATCTGAAAGCCTTTCTGATATAGATGACGTTGAGGTGTGCAACCTATTCTCATTGGTTAATCTTTATCTATACTATTAAATTTGATTCTTTTGAACCTTTTTGGTCCTTTTATTGCTTTTAGGCCCAGATCAATCCCTGATTTATTTTGTAAAATCCATGAAGCCCATATAGTTCACCTATCCTAAAAAATTGAAGAGTGCTCAACTCTCAACTCTAGGAAATTCATGTCTCGAAACTTTTCTGCGTTCTCATGTCTCTACAGTTTCATGCCTTTTCAGATAAGTTGGGTTATGACTTACAAAATATGAAAATTTGCATAGGTCAATGGATACCTTCATAATGAGGAGGAGAAGCGGTATAAAAAGATTATATGGGAAGAAATGAATAGGGAATATCTCGAGGTAATTGGAATTACTCTCTCATATATACTTGTAACTTTTGGGAATTAGAAGTCTAAGAGTGGGAACATGATCTGTGGCTTGTAGATGACAATTGATTTCTATAAACAGAACATCAGGACACACATTGCACATACGCATGAATGTTGTATCCTCTGAGCTATATCATGTAACATAACTCACAGATCATAACTCAGATTTACCTTATGAATTGGTTGGTTATGACCATTTTGTTAACTAGATACATTATATTCTTCCTTCTGTCTAAAAATAATGAAATAGATACTGTGGTTTTTACCCTATCATGTTCATTCCTTATCTCAGAGGTTTTTTTGGAACCCATTTGATAATTGATTCTCAAACCTGTCTGTTGGTCTAGTCTTAATTTCTTTAGTTAGTGCCTGGTAAACTGCTGGCTTAGCTGTAAACTTTAACAGGAACAAGCAGCTAAGGAAGCGGCAGCTGCTGCTGCTAAGAAAGCTTATGAGGCCAGCTTTCAAAATTGCTCAGTGGATTTGCTCGCTGCACAGGAACTTGCTGCTGCTGCTGCAGCAGCAGTGGCAAAATCAAAAAAGGTGCTTTTCTCTATGTCTTATCATGTTTATTTTTATTCTTATCATAGTATTTGATTGCTCATCATTTTGTTGTTGATGGTTTATATGAACTTACTGACAAAAGAAATGGATTATGCAAATGTGCTTTCAAAGAATATCACTTAAAAGGTTACTTGTGTGGGATGATAATTGTAATAAATAAATATGCTTCAAATTGCATTGTGTGAAAAACTAATCTTCATTATGATCTAGGCCTTGTCTCAACCATATAGGGTTGGCTACATGAATGCTATTCTACCATTCCATTATATTTAGTGCTATATTTTTGTTAAACTATGAGTCCTTAATTCAATTTTCACCATTTCAATCCATATCCTTTCTGGTCTGTCCCTAGCCTTTTCTAGCCTCTTCAATTTTTAACAGATCATTCTTCTTACTGGTGCTATAGATGGCCATCTCAGTGTGTGCCAAAACCTTCCTACTCTACTTATTTTATCACCTATTGGAGCTCACATAACAAAGCAAATGTGGCAACACTTTTTTTTCTTGAGCTTTGTTATGTTGTAGTGGTAGGTTATGTTATGAAGAATGCGCTGCTAGGGATAAAACATACCAAGCAGAATATTCAGAATCAGGAAACATATTAGTAAGGGTATTTCTGTGATTATGCCATTAGTTTTCATTTGAATAAAGAAAGGGAAATAGGTTGAGTGACCCAGTTCAGAAATTTACCCTAAACTCTTTCCTTCTTTGGCTCTTGGTATATTCTCTTCCTTTCATTCATTCAATGTAGAAGATAACTTCGTATTAGAACCCTCTAAAGAGGAATTAAGAAGGCTGATTCGCAGTGTTTTGCTGATATCATTTTTTTGGTAATAAAATTAAATTTATGGGTCATTTACTAAAACACCCCTGTAGTTTCATGGATTTACTAAAACCTACCCTATAGTTTGCATTGTACTAAAATGCCCCCCTATAATTTGCAATCGATTTACTTAATTGACCTTCCATTAGATGACAGTGAAAAATGGCTGTTTTGACCCTAATGTCCATTTGAATAAATAAATAAAAATGAGAATACCATTCTTGCCCCTAATAACGACATATCAACCACTCTATTTGGGTCTATTTGGTCAATTTTGTTTTCTATACCAAGAAGTGTTGCTGTATTAGGGGTACTTTTGGAATAAACAATCATGGCTCCATGTCCTTGAACATTTTCCACCCAGTTTAGGTGATCATTTTTACTATTTTGAGATGGAAAAACAAACACTTCTTAGTGAAAGGTCAATTAAGTAAATAGGTTGCAAACTATAGGGAGTGTTTTAGTAAAATTAAAACTATAGTGCGGGTTTAAGTAAATCCATGAAAATATAGGGGGTGTTCTTTTAAATGGCCCTAAATTTATTAATAAAACAAAAAAGAAAGTACAAGAAAGGTGACTAGAAGTCACCCAAGAGAAGAAGTGAGAACCTTAACCCACTATATGCTAAAGCTCCAAGACCAAGAAACTACACCAAGGCTACTTGACCTTAGAGTCAGGTGACTCCAATTGACCCGAGAAAACTCGAACACGATAAAGTTCTGCCCTTCCAACCCTACTTGACCTTACACCAAGGCTTAGTTTGGAAGGAGTACAAATACAAATATGTAGAGTGCGAAACCTTCAATTTTGTATTATTTTGTATGTATTTGCACTATACATATTTGTATTTGTACTATTTCCAAACTGTGCCCTAACAACAAAGAGACACTGAACCTCCAATCTGAAATCTCACAAATTTGCTCAATTATGCAGCAGTATTTAAAAGGTGCACCTGAGGCACGCCTAGGTGCACTGACGAGACGCATTTTAGGGTAGGTGCCTCGCCCAGGTCCTAGGCGCATGCTTGATGTCCCTTGCGCCCTAACACAGGCATGCATCTTTTGAAAAATTGGCGCTTTTACGCTTTTTTGCTTTTTTTGAACCTATCCGAGAACCCCCCTATTTCCCTAACATCAGCTCCCCCTTCTTCAAAATCCTGATTATCTTCCTCCTTTGAACATCCATTCGTGGGCATTTTATATTTCTCTTCCAATTCTGCTGACATCATCATGGCATTGGGTAACATCAGCATCTGTATGGGCACAAAGCTTGAACCAGATGGATCTCACATCTTAAAAATGAAGTATGAATTTGTTAGTTTTTAGAACAAAGGACCCTTAAAAGTAGTGAGAGTGCAATCACCTTTACAGCAGGAATTAGTAACACAGCATATTTTTAAATTTGGAATAAACATAAATCAATTTGTCATTTGGGTCATGAATCAAGCTGTCCAACCATCTAGTTGAATTGTTCATCTCACTGAACTGAAATTTACTAAAAAAAATACAAAAATAACAAATAACTTTTGATTCTCTTAAACCATCTTTGGCACCCGAATAAGCTTAAAACAGTAAATATTATTGATTATAACATTACACATGTATCTAAGGTAGGCTTGATCAAGTTACCATTTTAACATCCAACCAACCTAAAACCATTTGGCTACCGATTCCGTTTTTATGGTCTGGTCATCAGGTCTGGTCCAAGTTTGAGGACATTCATCAAGCAAGTTATTTTTATGGCAACCAGAAAATTTTACTCAACAAGCTTTGTGCTTTATCTTTGTCTTCTAAAGCCTGAAGGATCTTTTGATTTTTTGAACTTTCAAAGATCTTTTTAGAAGGCCCAACTAAACACCACCAAAGTTCTTTCCTTTCTCCTAAAATGCTGGGTTACCAAAAGTCGAGTATCAATTATGTGGATGATTCATTAGAAGATCTCATTGGTGAAAGAAACTTTGATGATGGGGAATTTTTGATAATCTAAAACATATGATTGGTCATTTGAACAATTTGAGAACGTTGGACCTTGAAGCTTGAATCTAAAAGGTTTATGGTTGTTAGTTGATTAGTAATTATTTTGTTGAATGATAAAAGCCTAGAATTTGTTACTTACAGACTAATATTTTATGGATACTTGTAAATTATTGCGTTCTATCTTAGTTTATAAAAAGTTCTTTTTATTACTTACAAGCTTTAATTATTCTTTTTTTTTTAATTTTTGAGGCTTACGTCTCACCTTTTTGAGCCAGTATGCATAAACTATGCCTTTAGCCTTTTTGAACCATGAAATGAGTATCCAATAAGTGTTCCCTGTTCCACAACCAACTAATCCGTAGAAAATTACATTACCTAAAACCCCTCAAATGACCCCGAGAATCTTCCACTTGGCTATAATATTTACAGTCCAAAAGTGCCCACATGGATTGTTCAGTCAGAAATTAACTGTGAGAGTGTAATCATATGCATGAATATTGTAGTTTATAGGGGTAAAGGAGCATCACTTTCCAGAACCTTCTTCATTTTCTTTTTCCCCTTTGTATTTTGTTGCCCGGGTAGTTTACAGTCTATGTTAAAATAGTGAAATCCTGAATACATCTCAACAAAGGTCTATCTGAGCTATAAAATTGTATGGTTTCTTGTTTAGTATTGGATTGAAACCTATGTATTTGCAGGCTAGTACCTCAAACTAGGTCCTTTAGAAAAACTAGACATTACTGAAATGACTTGTAATCGTAGGATTGACCTTGCATATTTTGGTTTTTACTTAATCATTTAATAGCCTGAACCATTGTCATCCTTCTATTTATTTGGTCTTGTTTTATGTGTTCCTCACATGCAGGAAAGGCAACAAAAACGAGCTGCAGAAGCAAGGAATGCACCCCCTGCAAAAACAGCTGCAGAAGCTACTCGTCAAATGTTGACTAAGAAGGTAGAACACAGAAAATTAACTGCTGAAGGTGTTGAAAGTATTTTGATAAATATAAGGAGCAGAGAAGTATTCACTATTTACAGGATTGGTGCTCCAATTTTTGCTTGGGCTCCATTTGAAAAGAGTGCAAATACAAATATGTATAATACAAATACAAGGTTTACAAATACCACACATAAGGTTTTGCTCTATACATATTTGTATTTGCACTCTTTCCAAACTGAGCTTAGTTGACCTTGTAAATCTTTTTTCGGTCATTTCTATTCTGATTTTTTCCTTGGCCTCTTGAAGCTTTGATTGCACTACATATTTTCCCCTATTTAAATGTATCAATGTGGTTTCTTTGCAGAGACTAAGCTCAAAGATCAATTATGATGTCTTGGAGAAGCTTTTTGATGACTCTGTAAGTTGGCCTTTCATCTGCATGTATTCTGCCTGTTTGTGTTTATATAGCTGACAAGTTACCTAAGCGAGTCAATCAAGGGAAGTTTCCCAGGCAAGCCCCTCCACGAAAACATTCTTTTCATGGAGGAATCCTATTGGCTATCCGTGCATCAGATAAGGGATCCATTCCCAAGCTATGATATGTCCAAAGCTTCAATTCCTTAATTAAAAACGAAGAATGGCTTATTTTAGCTATGTGACAAGTGGTGTTTAAGCTGAAATTTGCATTGTGAACTGAAGGATATGAGAGGAACATGTGGGCACTTTTGGGCCCTAAGTCAGATACTAGCGAAAGATTCCTGGGTCATGTAGGGGGTTGTAGGTAATATAGTTTTTTGTGGATTAGTTGATAATGGAGCAGGGTATACCTATTGGATGTTCATTTGAGGGTGTTGTGCCTTCTGAGACCATCCGCATATGGTTCTAAAGTACCCCCTTTGGAATTAGGATGGGTGTTTGCTGATAACATGCCACACCACATTACAGAACAGAAACACCTCATGGGGTGTGGTGTGGTTCAAACCATGCTGTTTCAACAACACAGTAGTGCCCAGTAGATTCAACCACACCATGCCTGGATAGTTGATGTAGGACCAGCACAGTTCTAGTCCTTAGAGAATGTTGAATGGTCTTGTGTGGTGGTTCAAACCATGCTGTTTCAGTGATTTAAAAGGTGCGCCTAGGCGCACAGGTGAGGTGCATTTCAGGGTAGGTGCCTCACCCTGGTCCTAGGCACAGCCCTTTCAAAAGGTGCACCCCTGGTGTGCCTCAGCCCAAGTGTGCGCCTTTTGAAAGGGTTGCGCCTAGGACCTAATGCATTAGCTACTTGAAGCAATAAAATATCTTCTTAAAAAGCAATAAAATGGTCCGCTTCGTGAACCCCCTATTTGGTAATGTTGTACATTCATTCATCCTAATAAAATATCTTCTTAAAAAGCAATAAAAACTATAAAATCATTATTTTTTGTGTGAGAACTAAGAATTTAAGACCTAACGTGGACTTGTTTGGGCTTGCCTTGAGGGGTGTGGCACAAAGGCAGTTCGTAGAATCAGGAATGTAATATGTTTTACATCACATTAGCTACTTGGAAGTAATGCAATTGAGAAAAAAAGAGATTGTGGGTTTTATATACTTGAAAATGTTTTATATATTTGATTTTATTTTTAAGTTCTCATTTGAATATGCTTTACATGTTATATTTATGTATTTTAATATTAGATAATAGGTTTTTTAAAATATTTATTTTAAAATTTAAGTTTATATTTTTATTAATACTATGTTTAATAATTTTTTTTGCATTTTTTTTTGATTTTTTTGACATTTTTTTAATTTTTAGCTTTTTTTTTTAATTTTTTGTGCCTTGCATAAAAAGGCGTGCGTGCCTTGCCTTGTGCCTTAGGCGCAAATTGACCCCCTGTGCCTTTTTTGCACCTTCTGCTTTTAAAACATTGTGTTGTTTCAACAATAACACAATAGGGCCCATTGGATTCAACCACACCATGCCTGGATAGTTGATGTAGGAACAACTCAGTTCTATTCAGTGTTTTAAAAGCGCAAGGTGCAAAAAAGGCGTAGGGGTCAATTTGCACTTGAGGCACAAGGTGAGGCGCACACCTTTTGAAGCAAGACACAAAAATACAAAAAAAAATGCTAAAAACAAAAAAAAAAATCGAAAAATTTTAAAACATGCCAAAATATTAAAAAAAACAAAAAATATTAAACATAATATAAAAAATATAAACTTAAATTTTGAAATAAATGTTTTAAAAAAACTATTATTTAATATTAAAATACATAAACATAAGATGTAAAGCATATTCAAATGAGAATTTAAAAATAAAATCAAACATATAAAACATTTTCAAGCATGTAAAAAATTCCTGATTCTACGAACCGCCTTTGTGCCACGCCCCTCGAGGCAAAGCTCAAACAAGTCCATGTTAGGTGTTAAATTCTTAGTTCTCACACAAAAAAAATAATGAATTTATAATTTTAATTGCTTTTTAAGAAAATATTTTATTAGGATGAGTGAATGAACAACATTAGCAAATAGGGGGTTCTCGGACTTGTTTGGGCTAATGTTGTTCATTCATTCATCCTGATAAAATATTTTCTTAAAAAGCAATTAAAATTATAAATTCATTATTTTTTGTGTGAGAACTAAGAATTTAACACATAGCATGAACTTGTTTGGGCTTGCCTTGAGGAGTGTGGCACGGGGTTCAAGGGCGGAGCCCCCGGTCCAGCTACTATGTTCAAGAAAAGCAAAAAAGCGTCAAATTTTCAATAGGTGCATGCCTGGGCTGAGGCACAAGGCGTATGCGCCTTTTGAAAGGGCTGCGCCTAGGACCTAGGTGAGGCACATACCCTAAAATGCGCCTTGCCTGTGCGCCTAGGTGTGTCCTTTAAATCACTGGTTCTAGTCCTTAGAGAATGTTGAATGATCTTCTTGATCAGAATTTTATGGCTGTAATGGCTTCTTGAAGGAATAAGAGAGAAAAATAAGGAGAGAAGGAAGAGAGAGTGCCTGGAATCACTCACAAGGCCAAGAATCACTCTAGGGCATGGGATCACTCACCATAGTTAGCATAAGCTTAAGAAAACTCAATATATTTCATTGCCTTTTGTATAAAACGTCCATACATATTTATAGATTTTGAACTCATAATAACCCTAGGAGTCAAACTGTTAGATTAATAATAGTCTTAGGAGTCAAACTGTTAGACTCAATAATCCTATTAGGACTCAAACTAGGCCTGTCATATCCTATATCAATTCAAAGAAGACTCAATAACTCTAATCCTACTTATGCAATGACTCTGAAATTTTAAACATAAACAAACTAAAAATAGACAAATTAAACCCTATCAATGGGCCCCAAAGAAATTTTCAAAATGACAAAAATACCCCTACTTTCCAAAAATACAGAAATACATAAAATTTCATAAAATTCCAATTTTGACTCTTCAGCTCCTGCATCTATAGTACAACATATTAAACACCCCATCTATAGTACCTCACTAACATGGTTGCGTAGGCTCTACCAAATGGACAGTGTGTGTTACACATTGGATTCCAAAAGATGGATTCTTGAGGGACAGTTAATATTTTCCTCTTTCTCGCTTATCGGACATACATTACTAGCTTATTTACTCATGAGTTTCACTTTGACTATGGGATGTTATTAACTGACAAACATAAATGTTTAGATTTCAAAGTGCATAGACGAACTTAATAGCATATATCTTTTTTTAGATACCGATAAAAAAAATCTCTTCTATTTCTTTTCTGTGGAGGTGAATCCATATATTTTCACCTTATCAAGTTAGACTCATAGACATGTGTTGGATTTAATTCTCATGTCCATGTCCATGTCCATGCAATGTTTAGAACCCGTTATGTGGTCAGCTACAGTAAGAATAAAATTTGAAGGAAAAAGAAACAAGAAAATGAAAATCTGCTAGCTAAGTCAAACTTGTTTGGATTAACAATAGCAGTATGAGATTATACACATCAACAGGATGTAACAGTAGGAGCTCTTTTCCTTGGAACGTAATTGGCTTGGTCCATATTTGTTGTCTAATGTTTTTAAACATGACACGGGAAGATGAAATATTGGGAGGGGGGTTATAATCATGATGGCGAAATATTAATTCTCTTCTCCAGGTGGACCATCCCATAGGCAATAGATATTCCTTTTATACCAAACTTCTTACCTTTAAGGGCCGAGACTGGATACTCATTTGGGATATGACAAACCAGAATTTGGAGGGGACAAAGGTGAGTCAGATAATTGCTTTTGTATCATTATCTGATTAGAAAGGTTAGGGAAGAAGATGATATGGTTGATTTGTATTAGAACCTGGCTGAAGATGGCTAAGCATTGAGAGTTGTTCTCCCTTGTATCAGGCATAATGATTTTTTTAAGTGTGCTAGCCATATTTGCCTAGCTCTTTTTTCTTTTTATAGGGCTGTCAACGGTCCGGGTCTGGTTCGGGACAGGTAGAAACGTTCCAAACCGACAGTACCGGAACCGAACCAGATCCGATCGGTTCTATTATTTCACAATCGGTACCAAACCAATGGGCCAATCGGAACAATCAGGTCTACCCTGATTGGACCCGATAAAATAAAAACCCATACTTAAGATGGTAAGACCTGTAGTTTTTGATAAAATATTCTATATTAATAAAAATCTATATTAATTAATTAATATTACTAATGAATACAGCAGCAGAAAAGGACTTACTTGATGCTAGTTTGATAAGAAAAGAACATTTTGTTCAATAACTTGTTATCAGAATATCAGTAGGATATTTGTCAAAAAAAAATCCCTGTTCTACTTGTATAATCTTGCTAAAAATAAATCTGTAAACAGCCTACAATCCTATATAATTTCAGTTTAACCTTACTAAAAACAAAAGAATAGCAATTAAATTGAAGATAATGGGAAAAAACTAAGCAAACCTGCATATATCGAGTGATCTTTAAATTAAACTGCCTCCTTATTCAAGAATTGAAATATCCAGTAATTAAGCTAGAACCCACTTACTAGCCGTCCATTTATCTGGTACTCCCAGTCCCAGGTTTACATGGGTGGCATTTAAACTATGATAAGCTTTTTTTCTTCTACCCCATCTTCTCTTTTTCTTTATCCATAGGTAGAGCTTGGTGTGTAGGAGACGGTGGTGACTGAGAATCAGTGAGGTCTGAGAATAGGTGAGACACAGAGACGGTGATGAGAAACTTTCTCAGAGAGAGAAAGTGACGAGTAGAACTTTATAAGCTACAAACGGCAAAAGCAAAACAAAAGGGTAAAGGCCAAAAGGTTTTGAGCTCGAGGGTTTTAGGTGTTAAAAGTAAAATTACATTTTTAGGCATACCTATAACTCTAAAACATGTATATATAATCGGTTTGGGTCTAGTCGGTTTGGGACAGTCAAAACCGGTCCCGAACCGGTATTAATCGGGACACATAAAATAAAACCAGAGCCAACCCATCGGAATGAATCATAGAACCGGAACCTATAAATACGGTTCGGGTCTATCGGGTAGACCCGACCCATTGACAGCCCTACCTTTTTATGTACTCTTTTACCCTTCTTGTTGATAAACCCCTTTGATCTGTTACTGATAAAAATATTAAAACAGAGAGGATGTACAATAATGTCATCGGTTCTGTCAGAAGTGTTTCCACAGAACACAAGGTCCAAGTTTTCATTCCACTTGGAACAATTCAAGACTGGAGGACATGGAAATGAAGTGGTTAAATGCAGGGTAAAGGTTGTTTTTACCAAGGTTTAAAATGTTGATGCAGTGGAAATGTCGGTCATCCAAATATATGAAACATGTCGGAAATGCTGTATGGAAATATTGTAAAAATTATAGACATGGTGGAAACATTTAAAAATATGCAAAATATAGAAAGATATTTTATGAAATGATAAAAAAAAGCATAGGCACACCTTTTTAAATTATTATCTTGTTGCAAATCATTAAATAGAGCTAAGAAACTAAGGTTATAGACAAAAGAATACGTTCAGAAGTTGCCCTATAAAATTTTAAGATTCAGAGCTTCATGATAAAATGAGTTAAGGCAATATTTTAACATATAGAAAATGTAAATGATTATAATAGATCAACAGATTAATCTATTACAGAAACAAAAAAACTAATTTTTAACTTCATGTTTGAAATGAATATTGAGCTAGCTCAAAGTGATAATCATGTAAGTTAGGCAGACAATAAAATTGTTAGTTAACATATTTACAATATTGTACCAACTTATGTTATAATACTATCTCTTGGACTACATATAGTACTGGTAGTGTTTATTGGGAAATATGTTGATTCCAATAAAATTTCATGTCGCTACCCATGGAAGTGGAAATGGAAATATGTTGTGGAAACTATTTGTTGTACACCACATAGTGCTGGTAGTGTTCATTGGGGAAATGTTGATTCCGGTAAAATTTCATATCACTACCCATGGAAATGGAAATATGTCGTGGAAATTTTAGGGAAATTAAGGACATTTTAAACCATGATTTTTACTTGTTTAGGAGAGTTAAATCGCATTCTTTGGATAAATTCCATCATTATCATGACATGTATGAAATTTGTTGTGCCATCAAAAGAGTTGTGCTTTGCACGAAACTGGATCATAATCTGAACCTTATATATGTCACAACACATCTTGGGTGGAGCATAATCTGCAATCTTGCTAACCCTTGGTCTGGAATTTCACTGCAAGGCTTATTTTGGAGCCCTGGAAAATAATGCTTACGAAGTCATTGTCATCCAAGCCTTATCCCAACTATATGGAATCAGCTATGTAAAACGTGTTTTGCCATTTTGCTCTGTTTAATGCCATATCCATTGTTAGATCATTGGCACTTAAATCATTTCTTACTACTACTACTACCAATGTAATGTGCTTTTTGGTCCACCTCTAGCCTCTTTAACTTGCAACAAATCACTTCTTGTGGGTGTGTTGATGGTCTTCTATGCACTTGACCTAACCATCTTAGTCTATTTTCTCTCATTTTATTACCTATTAGAGCTAGGTTCCTTCAAATAACAAAATAATGCTTAATTGCTCAAACATTTAGTTGCCAACATGATGTCGTATTTCTCAATGTGGATAATGGGAGCCCTGTTTACATTTACCAAAACACTCTTTGTAGCAGAACAAACATTTAGTTGCCAACATGATGTCCAAGTATTTCTCAATGTGGATAATGGGAGCCCTGTTTACATTTACCAAAACACTCTTTGTAGCAGAAGAATGGCTTGGATACAGTGAAGCAGATTATTCAATACAAACTTTACTTTTTTTAAATTAACTGGAACTCACTGAAATAGTGACTTTATTTTTTGCACAGATTTCTAGTTTGTTTTTGAACTCCTTTTTCTGAAAACACCTAAAAGGATTGATGTCTGCTCGTTACAGTCGACTCCTGAGAACAAGAAAAAACGCATGGAGTCAGATGATGCCATTAGGCAGGGCACTGACAAGAAATCAGGCAAGGAAGAAGTTGAACCGGATTGGAAGGACAACAATGATGAGCTGGGTCAAGAAGAGGAATATGAAGAGAATGGCAGTGCTTATGGCGACTTGTACTATGAAAATGAAGATGGATATGGTTACGATGAAGATTATGGTTATGATGACTATTGATGTGGCAGGTATACGAAAGAGGAGCCAGAGGTGTTCGAAGACCATTTCTTCGAGTAAAGCGATTTATTTCGACTAGCGCCCTGGTCCGACCATTAAACTATCTGTAATGGAGTAGAGGTATTGGTATTTTATTTCCCTGTGCTAAAAGGCCATTATTTGGTGGTAACGCAGCCAAAATTATTGCTAGATCTTGTAGCAATAAGTTTTACTAGGCTTTTTTTCAGTCGTTTATTTATTGTCATTTTATCCTTGCTGTGGCTGCTGTTGCTACTTTGAACAGCTTGTGAATACTATTATATCCAATAGGGCTGATATAGTTTCAATTTGACTAGTCTTGTAGATTGGTTCGGTGGGATATGATCTGTTTATTGGGCTTGAGGCCTATGCTACCCAGGCCTCAAAATGTTACTGTTGTGTACCATGTACTTATATGAGAAAATCAACAGTAAAGGTATCCAGTTTCAGTAGCAAGGTTCAATTCAATATTGAGAGGTCCAAGGGAATCTGATGTAATCCATCCGAATTATTACTGATAAAAGGTTAAAGATAGTCTTTCATTATTCTTTCACGATTCTGTACCCGTGTTCATATTTCATACTCATTCTGTGCAGCCGCACGCAGCACGCTAAAGATCTTCTGAACACTTAAAGGCTTCAAGCTAATGGTGATTCCTAATCCTATTCCTTTCCCCTTATTTTTGTGAGCGCTGGTAAATTATTCTCCCCCTTATTGAAGAGTGAAGCAGGTACAAGTGTCACGAAAATGGGAATTCAACATTCGTATGGACTTTTGTCTTTAACATATTGAGTTGAAATCTGACAAGTAAAGCAAATTACTGGTTTACTGGTCAATGCCCATTCACTGAACTAATGAATTTACATAAAAAAAAAAAAAAATTGACTAGACACTGTCCCACGCGACATTCCTTGTGTGTCAGGCATTTGAAATTCTAAACAGTTATTGTGATGTTACGGTGGGGATAAGGCCAAATGTCGACCAGGGGTGAGGGGGTATGAGGCCCCTCTGCAAATTCTTATGGAAGGTCATCTCTCTAACATTATCACAGGTCGTACCTCAATGTTCCATCCTTGAGTTCTCTGTCCTCTTGATGCAATTTACAACGACAAACCTGTAAGGCTGTAACATTTAAAAGCGAACACCTCAATCTTGCACATCTTTGCCACTGTTGAGCTGATCCCCAATTGGCTCAGCGCCAGCGCACTCCATTTTCTTTGCCTGGATATGCATTGGAATTTTGAACTACACGACGATTAATTTGATTATTGTCTGTGATTGTCATTGACCATGTCCAGTATCCATGCCTGGATGACTGGTGTCACTGGCCTACTCATGTTGGGTCCGGGTATGATTCCTTTATAATGAATTCCACCGAATACTGCCACCATGTTTTGCTGTTTTGCGTCCATATCGTACGAACTCAAACTATTAGGACTCAGTTTCACTGTGCTTGACAACATCCAACCCACAACAGGCTTTCTCACATTCATGATTCAACTACTTAATGGGCATTTGTAGCTGCGGGCTAGGTATTGAGAGGATCTCTTGTTTTTTTTTTGGGTATTCTCTTGGTTTATGTTTAAGCTAGCAGTGTAGCATCTTCATTCTGGTACATATTTTTGTTTTTTTTTTTCGCCCATTCTGGTACATAGTTACCTTCTTATAATATCATCTACTCAATCAACTATTGAAGTTAAGTTTGAATATGGTTTTGGGCTGTGATCTATCAATATTAAGGTTTGTTCACAAGGGAGTGAACTATGCCATTTATCTTCGACAATAAGATGTATATACATCAATAACCCAGATGAACCATTCAATGAACCACTGGTCTTAGGGTGGCCGATTACTTGAGAAACCTCTTGTGGATGGTCAATAATTCATTATTAATGGAATTCTTAAATCATTTGTTCTATTAAATCATATGTTGTATAGGTTTTTCTACCTTTTCCTTCAAATCAAACACAGCCTAAGATTCACTTTCCAAACATATACCATGATTGCCCACTAAATTGCAAATAGGAAAACCTGAGGCTGTGTTTGGTTTGAAAGAAAAAGTAGGGAAACCCATAAAAACTTTATTATGGTTTCCCTACCTTTCCCTTATATTTTCATTCAAACCAAACATAGCCTAAGAGTAAGAGATGACGTTAATGTGATGCTCCTCTCCCTATAAAGAATGTCAATAAATGGATTCAATTTTATATCATATATCTTTTTTTATGCCTTAAGGCAAGTTCAAGGAATGGGCCCCACAGAAAGCCAAAAATCCACAAAACACGTAACTGCAGGGGCGTAAAATGTGCAAAAAAACTACCCATCCATGTTGTAGAAACCGAAACGGTTGAAGTATGAACGATAAGGGAGAGAACCCAAAGATCGACAGCAGGAACAGTAACACCGTTGCAAATGAAATACCCAAAACGCCTGAATTGGATGCACAGAAAGCCAGGCACTAGAGCAAAAGCAATATTTCCAGAAAGTGAAGAAGCAACGAATAGCCCAAAGCAGGTTTGAAGTGGCACCAGGTTCAGCAACGAGAATCATACAGAAACCCCTTTGTAGCAAAATCAATCGAAAGTACAAATCCACCCCGAAGAAAAACATATTTATGCTACTCCCAATTCGACATCTTGCATGTTCAAAGGGAAAACAAATGGAGTCCCACAGCAGACACTACACACAAATTCAACCAAGGCCCAGCAGAAATGAGAAAAAGATCAGAGAGTAAACAAAGATTAGAAGGATTAGAACATAGATCTGAAGTCTTCTCCATGGGCCGGGATCAAAACCATCATCACACAAATTTGTCATAAGAGCTTCTCAAACAAACATCGATAGTAAAAGAAATAGATGAAAACTAACATCCATAGATGTGAGAGAGAAACCCTCACACACGTGAGAGAGAAAGCGGCTTGTGATTAGGGGTGTCCATGAAAAACTGAAAAACTGAACTGCAAAATGCGGTTAACCAAATCGATTGGTTCGGTTTTGCTTCGGAATTTTTGAAAAATCGAAGGACCGGTTCGGTTTTCGGTTAACCTACAAAAAATTAACAATTAACCGAACTGACCGGTATATATATTTTTATGTATATTTTATATATATTTTTAATATCACATATTTTTTATGTATTATATATAAATATATATTCATTATATATAAAAATATATACTTATATTATATATCATTTATTATTTGTAATACAATATTATACATATATTTGTATAATATATATTATAAATATAAAAAACCGAAAAAATCGAAGAACCGAACCGGTTAACTGGTGATACCGGTTCGGTTTCGGTTTGGAGAATTGGAAAAACCAGTACCACCGGTCGATTTATAAAAAAGTGCCATGGTTTGGTTAACCAAACCGTGGACACCCCTACTTGTGATATTAGATCGAATTAAGCAGTATATTCTTATGGATGTTTTTTTTTATGAATAAAAATCATACAGAAGGAATAAAAAGAAGGAACTTCATGTTTAATATATTGAAAACATGTTCTACTGCCCTATGAAAAAAATATTTTCTAAAGTTCAACTCATATTAAATCATTACTATGTATTATCATCATCGTTAAGCCTTGCCCCAACTATATAGTATTATCTACATGAGTCTTTTTTCATCATTTCATTCTTTTCAATGCCATATCCATTGCTAAATTATGTATTGGATATGAAAGTTTTATGATGCATGTTGCTTGTAGATGATATTGTTTTGTAAAAATAAAACGAAAAGGGTTTATTAATGATCATAAAAAGGGGCATAAGACCTGACCCTCGAAACTATACAAGGAATAGAAGGCCCTACATTTGCGGTTGCCTTTCCTCGTGTGTATGACTACATATCTAGTATCCATTATATGTTTCACTTGGGTGTACTTTGAAATGACTAGAGTTAATGATTTGATTTTGTAGTTTTTTACCAATTCCACTAATTATATCATCCTGGAAAAATTCTATAATGGTGAGTCATAACAAATTTTGGCCTTTGGCCACTTGTTGTTTCTTGATTCTGAGCGGGATTGCCTTCATTGAAAACAATTGGAACCTCAATCGCCTTAGAACATCTTTCACATATAGCATGTTTTGTCAATTTTGATCTTCATGTCCCTTTTTTCGGCTCTTTGTTTGGCATTTCTGCGACCTTAAAAACTCTCCCCCCTATAACCTGGCTATTGAATGCATAAACTGATCATTGTAAAGATTAACAAGCAACCCTAGAAAATTGATTGAAAAGGGAACAGCAAAGGGCTCCTATCCTAACTTGATACCAGGCACCCTATGAAGAAAACGAAATAAAAAGTCTTTGATCACCACCACTTCACAACACATGGAGAAACTCACCTCCATCTTGAAATTGAATCAGAGAATGTTTTGAATCAATGAATGTAAAACAATCATTGTGGATTTGAGAGAAAGTGTCCCTTGATCTCGGCCATAAACACATTTTCTAACTAGGGAAAAACATAGAGGATCAAGAGTTTTGGAATCTTTTCATCAGTGAATAAAATTGCAGGTTCTCCCCATTTTAGATGATTGTTTTAATTGATGAAACTAATTGAGGATTTAGTGCAAAATTAAGCTTATGAATAATTTCCTTAGAAATATATAAGAGGTTTTAAAATAAGTAGGTTTATATATAAAGTATATGAAATGTAGTTTTCGTAATAATAAGAGTGTAAATCAGAATACAATTAGGATTGGAGACCGAGATATAACTCAATATGACCATTTTCATTACCTTGGTTCAACAATTTATAACAAGGGAAAGATTGAGAAGGATATTAGGGAAAGAATTAGAGCAAGATGAGCAAAATGGAGGGGTGTATTTGGACTTTTATGTGACAGGAAAATACCACTTAATTGAAAGGAAAATTCCATTAAATAGTTGACGCTAGTTATGCTCTATGGAGAAAGGTGTTAGGTAGTCAAGAAACAACATATCCAAAACATGAATGTAATAGAAATGTGAATGCTAAAATGGATGAATGAAAAAACAATAATGAATAGGGTTAGGAATGAACTCACTTGTTGGAACCTAAAAGTAACTCCAATAGATGGTGAAATGAGAGAAAATATACTTAGATGGTTTGATCACATGCATAGAAGATCATCGACATCATCTTTTAAGAGATTTGTTACAAGTTGAAGGGGATAGATAGAAGGGCTACCGATAGACCAAAAATGACTTGGGTAGAACTTAGAAGTAGTGGGAAATGATTTAAGCACTAATAGTTTATGGGTAGATATGACATTTAATAGAATAGATTCACGAAACAGGATTCCCCATATAGTTGGGGTAAAGAGTGGATGATGATGATTGCTTCCACCCATGTCCTCAGTTTGCCCCTAACTCTTATTGCTACATGTATAACATATTAAGGATATATTCCATTCATGTTGAAATATTTTTGAAGAAATTTGTAACTCTTCATTTGTTTGTATGTGAATTTCATTTGCATTGGTTTAAATGCAAAGTAGTGCAAATGGGCTGTGTGAAATTCTGGTTGACTTTTTACTTCATAATTGACTTGACTTGACTTGTCTTGTCTTTTTGTGAGAAATAAAATATAAAGTAAAATGACATGGTCCCCAAATTATATGAAAGAGAACAGAGATAGGAGGAAGGTTGTTTGTTTGGGAAAAATAAGATAGGAAGAAAAATGATAGTCTCAACTTTATATGAGAGAATTAAGGTAGGAGGAAGGTGGGTGCAATTTTGCATCTGCTTTTTAGATGCAAAATTTACACTGTAAATAAATGCAAATGAGACAAAAAAAGGTGCAAATTTTGAAGCAGGTGAAAATTTTGTATACAGATCAGATTTGAACTGCAACCGAGCCTAAGTTTTGCAATTTTAAATGTGTTTATGAATTAGCATACATTATGTGAAGTTTCTAACTAGGATTAGAATTCTATGGCTACTTGATAAGTACAGATTGCTAACTTTTTAGGTTGGCACCGTTAGGATTTTCTGGACAATGAGCTTTCTCTTATCTAAATTCTTGCAATACCTGTGATGTGAAAGTTCTCTTATGCACGAGAAGATATGATCAGCATCTAGGACCTGTTTGGGAGGGTTGAGTTGAAGATTCAACTAAGTTGGTTTAGCTGCTTTTAAGCATTCTAGATAAATTATTTAAAGAGGCCGAAGCAAACAACATTCAAATGATTAACAACCAAGGATTAAGGTATTGATACGATACTCCCAATACGGGGGCATACATATCTCATGAATTGTGCATATCAGGTTGTATCGTGCTATATCAGTGGATACAGTTTGACGAAATTGTATATTGACTACATTTTGATTGTTTTTCATCTTTAATAAAAATTAAAAAATATAATTATAAAAACTGAAATAAATTATTTAATATTTAAATTTTATAAAAAAATTAATAAAAACTAAACATTATAAAAATAATATATTTCATCTACCTTAGATCATTTATATATTTTATTTTACACATAATTATATGTTAAAAAGGAAAGCATAGTTATTATTTGAAGAAAATAGAGTTACTATATAAAAATACTAAATAAATAAATTTTCCCAACAAAAATATGTAAAATAGTGTTTTCAACCCACTGTTGACATGGTTGATCGAACCATTTGAATCGTCACCCAGCCAATATTTCAAGTCTGGTTTAGTCAAGACTTGTCAAATGGTTAAGAACTGTTGACTTGGTCAAGAACCTTTTACCCGGCCGGTTCAACCATTGACCCATTCGACCCGATCACCAAGTCGCGGGTTCTGGGTTGCACATCCTATGTATGCAAACTTTCGGAGGTTGTAACTTTGCACTATGATGTCCGACTGGGGTGATTTTTTTTTTTTTGTAACTTTTCGAAATCTATGCATCCCAAGGGGTCATAGGTGCTTGCTCCGCTATTTTTGCAAAAAAAAAAAAAACTCTTTTTTAGCCTCAAATTGTAATTTTTAATATTTTTATAAATAAAAAAAAATAAAAAAACGAGCTAAAAATATAAATTAAATATAAAAATACATATAACATATCTAAAATACACACACGCGCGCGCACACACACACACACATATATATATGATGTGGCACGGTCTGAACCATTCAACCCAGCTGATCAAACCGGTGACCCACGACCCAGAGGCAAAAACGGTTTGGCCTCCGGGTCAGTTTTTAAAACATTGATGTAAAACATAGTTATTTTACGATTTATACAGATATCAAGGCAAGTATGTATGCCAAAAAAATTAAATTTAGAGGCAAATTTTCTCTAAAGAATGATAACTGTCCTCTTATATATTATAACAATATTAATTGACAATTTACAAAAGGAAATAGAGAAATTGAACCAACCTAATTCCAGTCCAACCCAAAAACTTAGTGTTGTGGGTTCAATAGCTCGGTTTGGGCTAGGGTTGACCTCCACCCGGCCCGACTTGCACTCCTAAAGTTGATACATAAAGTCTTACTAGCTTTTACAAACCCAAGCTTTAAATCAGCTCATGCTTTCAAAAGATAATAATTTGGAATTATGCCCTAACCAAGAGAAAGAATGCATGCCACATGCAACTTTCGCCAGGCTTATGCTTAACATGCACCATTGATCATGATGCTTATTGAAATAAAGTTGACACCCCATCATACAGTCATTTACAGCCTCCTGTAAAGGCTAACTAGAGATGGAAATGCTTATGGAAATAAGAATTAAAGCAATTTATACATGGCATACGTATCGATGTTTCAATATATAATGTTTCATTTATCTGTTCCATTTTCTCCTTATATTTGTAAATAATTTCATTGATAATGGCTAAAGAAATAAAAATTTAAAAGAAATGTATTCAGTTTACCTCCCAATTATATTATGGGCGAAACTCTTTTTTCGTACAGCAACATATGACATATTAGGGTCTGTTTGGGTGACCAAACTTCTCCATTATTAGAAAAAAAAAATGGCAAAATGCATCTCCACGTGACGCGTTTTATAGCATTTTTTTATGTGCAAGTTCATTATTTAAAATGAACCAATTCGAAAATCCTCAAAATGCCCTGTAGGCTATAGTCACAGATAAGTTCATTTCTTCAATAGAAGCCCAGTCTTTTCTCCATTTTAAGCGAACACTAAAGAGTTTTCAAATTGCACTAAAAACAAAATGAATGGGCTATTGACTTTTCTTTAATTTGCATCCGGCTGACCGCCGGTTTATCTTATGTTATTATGGACTTTACATCATTTCTCTGGATTTTTAATACTCTCTTGGTCATTGTTCAAGCCTTCAAGGGTTGTTATAGGTTTTATCTACAACTACAAGATGTACAACTAGAATCGTGATTACAAAGGGATATGCAGATCGAATAAAGCACAAGAACAAAATGCACCAATCTCATCTCCTGGAACTAGTATTGGAAAACTGAAGAGCATAATTTGTTTAAGTGATTTTATGCAATGATCTCTCTCTCTCTCTCTCTCTCTCTCTCTCTGCGCGTGTTTACTTCTCTTTTGATTTAGTTTGCAGTAATGGAATTTAAAGAGCCATCAACAAAACAAAGTAGTCAAATTCATATATATGCACTAGACCTTTGATAATGGGTCAAAACATCTAGGACCCATAGAATAAAGGGTTTAAGAAGAAAAAAATGGTGTAGCTAGAGAAGAAAAAAGGGTTTAATCCATAACTTTGGACGTCCCGTGCTTGAACAAGCCGTGGCGATAGCCATAGAAGGCCCCTCTCCATTAATAATTCACAAGCGCTAATGGAAAAAGAAAAACAATGGTATTTGCTTTGAGAAAAGATGGTGCATTAATTCTTCAATCAGTTCCAGGAGAAGAGATATTTGAGTCTGAAGCTTTTCAGGAAAGCGGGAAAGGAATTTGGAGAAAAGCTCAAAGCCTCGTTTGGTATTATATATATATATATATATATATATATATA